TGAACGTTGTTAACGTTTTCTACACATATATCGAAATTATGTCCTAAATGTGACGAGATAGCTTTAGGCACTTCACTGCATAAACACGTAGATTTTAGATATTGTCTATGAGCTCTAATCGACCATCAGAAGCTATATTTAGTTCCCAGTTCCTAACCATTAACAGCTTAAAGCGACCTTCAGATGCTCGTGGTGAGTCATGCTCTTGGACCTAGCTAGGATATTCGCGTAGATCTATTTCCATCATATTGCTCAAACACATACACACACACGCACAAAAAACTACGATGAACACGGTTTTAAATATTGGTACATATGAACGCTATGAACGCATTACACTTAAGTATACGTTTTTGCCACAAATATTGACGTCAGATTTCGTCATGTCTACTTAATCATATCAATGACTTATTTCGGCCCTTAGAATCTTGGACGTCCTTACATAATCGAGACTTAATTTTCTTTAGGGTGTGTGTTAATCAAGATTAACTTTGTCATTTTGTGTGAAATCGGACTTGCATTCCTTGTTGGTGTACACACTTAACTTCAAGTAAGGCAGAACCTACCATTCCGTACACTGCTTCAGGACCATATGTTTTGCTAACATCCAAGATCAATCCGGCATGAATCTTAGTCAATATATACCAAATTTAAATATTATCAGTAGTATGTTTCTATTACTTATCATGAAATCCTCGTTAAAACGTCACGCTATCTTCCGACATTCCCTTTTTAAACTATTGGTTCAAATAAAATAGTTCTAACATTGATTTTAGTATATTGATAAATGTTTTTGCTGCACCATAATATCCAGTTCTAATTAGACGAAGAAACTTCCTGCATAAGAACTTAGTCTGAAATTTGATGCATGGAATGTTATAAACTAATATTAAAACAGAACATGGTTCACATCATCATATCTCTTCGTAGCGATCTTCACTTTGGATTCTCCTTAACTGCCTCCTAGGTTTCAAATTTTAGGCCCTTAGCACCACCAAGTCCTACAAGGACGAAACTGCTGTATGATGAAGTTAAATCCATAGTTCAGTTTGATCGTATCTAGTTCTAACGTCGTATTTAAAAGTGCTATTCACATATGTGTCTTTTGATCTTTCATTCGATATAATATATATATATCCGTGATCTATTTGTGAGATATTCCGGCACTAGTAAATATCCATTTATCTATATCCCGATCTCAGTGTACCACCTGGATTTTTATTACTTTCTCACTTCCCTTTTATCTAATGATATTTTTTAACTAATATACTCCATGACAATGCCTGTCAGCTTACTACAAGGTAATGTTTATCTCCATGGACAGTGGGCACCATTACTGTTCGTTCTGTATTCCTCGGATACATTGATTTGCTTGTACATGATCCCGGCGGAGAAGGGCATTCTGTTAATTGCGGATTATGCTCACGACCACCACACTATCTAATAGAAACTCATGTTAGGTAGGCAGCGCCATTTGTTTCTATATTGTTAACTACGTATATGAAATCGTGATTTCCACAAACCAATACGACCCATTTGTTCCTGCCATCTTGTAAATACAATTTAATATTACTTACTTTTTGTTTTAATATATTTAGCCACTGGCTTATTCTTATTTCCAATTTCTATCAGTCAGATTTGTTTTCTTTATTTTTATTTCTATCTTATATAAACATTTACACCATTTACACACAACAGTTTGAACACTCACAATATATATAGGGTTGTAGGTTGTAAAGCAGTCCCGCATTGATATATATCGGTATATTTAGAACGCGAAAACGCATTCAATTGCTACTTCATTGCTATCGAGATTTAAAGAGAGGGGTTGAATGAAGGTTAACAGCCATTAGTTTCTATAAAGTAAAGAAATAAAGTTCTTTTGACAAAAAGTACGTTTACCTAAATTTGGTGCATAGCAGTGACAATGATTTTTCTAGGAATTAAACTACCGTTGAGAGTAAATCATGTAGAAAACACTTGAAATAACGATACGTATAGAGTAAAATACGATATACGTCATCTTAACACTTATTGATGTATTGAACCTCAAGGGTAGAGTTTATACCTTACAGCCGAAGTTAATGATACGGGCTGACGTAATAGATAGCGTGTACGTTAGCTTTCCAAGGTTTGTCTTTTAAATATGCCATAAACATCAATGCCTATTCTTTATACGCTCCATTACATTAGGCTGTTTATGCAAACATTTATTCTATTTAAACTTCATTTATTGAATCATCGCTAAAGATATTTGCTTTCAATTTAAAAAAATTTAACAACATTAGTTACAATAATGACCCTATATGAGATACGTCCGCTAGTATTATTTAAATTCTGAAATTCATACGCAGTTTTAAAAATAGTTACATGTTCTAGCTTTTCAGGATAACCGCGTCTTAAACTGTTAACTCTGATTTGCAATCTAAATTACATATGTATAGTTGCCCATGCTTTATACATTTTAATGCAATATTTCCAGTTCATTCACTGATGGTATGACGAAAAGAATGTTTAATCAAGTTTAAAAAAAATACCTATAAAACTAGGGCAACATATGAACAAAAAAAAGATTTATACTTGAAATACAAGAGGAATAAGACCAGATGTTCCTAGAGTAAGCGTCTGCTGCTTTGTCGGCGACAACCGCCATATGTAAACCTTGGTCAATCCAAGTAAGTAATGTCACGTTCTCAAAGGAGAGTTTGTCAGTCACCTGACGACTTCCTGCAGGAAAAGTGTGATAATGGGAACAGGCCCTTGAATACCGAATCAACTGTGAAATGTATATACTTTAAGTTACCGATGCAGGGATATTGCTATCCAGAAATGGAAAATTCACAATAGGGAAATTGTTAATCATCACGTTTATCATACAGCTTGGTGGAAAACCTGTCCATATTGGTTTCGTTGTAGAAAGGATCGAGACAAGCAAGTGACGTAGAAGAATCTATCGTATCTTTAATTTGCAGTTCTGGTGGATAAATACGATGGACGTAGTCAATAACTTTCTTTTTTTTTCTAAAGACAAGACGCCATCAATATATCTGATGGTCTAATAAAACGACATTACAAGGTTTTTGTGACCTGTTCTGATAGCTCTTCAACAAGTTCAGCCTTGTATGAAAGCAAAAACAGGTGAACCAACAGAGGGACGCAGTTGGTTTTCATTTCATATTTCAGATCTCCAGGGGCTCGCCATATGGATAAAATCTTATATTATGATACACCATAAAAACACCTCTGCATTAGGCATATCCTGTAAAAAATATTATCTTACATAAGTAAACCTGTATGTACCTACTATTAAATACAATAAGCCGCGTTCTACCTTCGAATTTTGGGATATATTAAATCAAATCTTGATTGGACACAAATGTGTACTAAGTCATGTCGTCTTGGCAACGATTGTGGGTATGCAATAATGCCTGTTTATACACCCTAAATAATAGACAGAAATGCATTGTTTTATATCATTCACCACTTGTCTTTCGATCTCCAGTTTTAGGGGTGGGGGTGGGCACGCTTCATATGATAAAATGGAGGACATATGCTTTCACATGCTAACGCAACTGATGCAAACGAATATATTATCACATAAAAATTTCATACTACAAACAAACAATTATAAAATTTACAAACATATACGATTACTCTGCTGCCATACTTAGTGTTAGATACAATGAAAAAGGAGAGAGGAGGCAAACAATATTATAGGTTAATACTGTATACACTGTATTATGTTTTTGAAGCATGCAAGAAATGAAAACTGATATCATCTGTACAGAGTATTTAAGATCACACGTTTAAAAATATTTCACACACACACACACACACACACACACACACACTTATATTATATATTTATAGATGCAGATCTTATAATACATTTACAACTGATATGAATATCATCTTATCCACAGATTTTAAACAGTTGTCGTATATTTTCTACACCATGAAATACTCACTTTCGTTGTTTTAATGGTTATAGACAAACCTCGAAACTAAAATGTAACGAACAATTTGTAACAGTAGCTGTCAACCATTTCAGTACCAAATTAGTATATTTGATGACGTCATTTTTATTTCTTGTCTTGAATCGTATTATATGTATGGTGGTAAGATCTGACAACAGACTATTGGTTTAGATTATGGGAACCAACAGTGCTCCTCTATTGACTCACTGTCTTTAAATAACAAGAATGTTTTTAGCCACGTCCAACGTACCGAAACTTGAAATCGAGGACAAGACCGACTCTTCGAAATCTGCCGCTTATCTCGATCTTTTCCTAAAATGAAACCAATTATGGGCAGCTTTCTACCAAGCTGCATGATAAGCTTGATGATTTTAATTTTCCTGTGGTGAATTTTCCATTTCTAGATAGCATAAATCCTGTATTCCCGACTTATGGTGTTCTCATTTCGCAGTTGATTCTGTATTTAAGGGTCTTTTCCGTTATCATAATTTTAATTCAAGAAGTCGTCGATTGGCGGACAAACGCGTGACACAAGATTTTAAAAAAATGCAGATAGATTGAAATTATGGGAAAGTTTGAGGTCGTCACAGTGATCTCATTGCAATTAAAAGCTGGACGGGTTTGATGCTTCTAAGTTTGCTTGTCGGCTCCGTTGTTGTATACCTAGTACTCATTTGAGAATGTGACATTTTTATGTGGACTGACCCAAGATTTACATGGCGGTTGTTGTCGATGAAGCGGAATACGCTTTCTTTTCCGGAACACCTATTCTGATCTTCATTATCTTTTTTTCACTTTTTATTTGTTTAGGAGTATTCGTGAAAATAGTTCTTTTTAGATTTTGCCATTATTTCATTATGATGACATGTATGTATTTTCAATTTATTTCTAGATAAAATGCCGGGCTGTACAGGATATGAAAAACAATATAATCAGGTTATATTCCGATATACGTCTATCTATTATATATGTTTACAAAAAACATTCCAAATCGAATGAATTAAATATTTTCTATGATTTCAGAATTAAAACAAGCATTCAACCTGTTCGACAAGAACAATGACGGTAAAATATCCAGTGAGGAATTAGGCTGTGTAATGAGGATGCTTCGCCATAACTACACACAGGAGGATATCGACGACATGATAAAAAATGCCGACACAAATGGTATGTACAAATTTCTCTACACAACTGTTTGTCTATCGGCATGTGTTAAGTCGAGCAAGGTGAGCTAAGCTTTGTCTAAGCTTTGTCTACCAGTAAAACAACTTTAATAAAGAGATATAAGAGAAATAATTTCTCATATCGGTTTGTTTTTCTTTAGGGGATGTTACAGCCAAATATTACTCTCTTGAAGAAAGCGTAGTTGACAATACTGTTTCCCAAAGCTAAAATCAACAAGCAAGGATGAAAAACAATTTTCTATGTTATAGCTCAATCGAAGGACGAAATAAAGTTAACATGGCTAAGTTTTAATAAATTCTTTTCTCGCACCTCAGACAAGGATATCCCACGTAATACCCCATCTTAGATTTTTCTGTCTTGTACCCTTACGTGCCTTTTCGCGGATTTTTTACGTATCGATTCATTCATCTGATTGTAGAAATGTATATATATATAGAAATCGGTTCAAAATTTACTATCTTCTTTATATTATCTGTTTTGTGTATTTTGTTGATGTTGTTAAGATTCCTGATGTTGTAGATGAAATAATATCTTCACCGTAAAATGTGTTGTAGTTTTTTTTACATTGTTTACACGGCACTATCCAAACGTTGTTTCAAAGTGAAGAGGCTGTGTGGGTAGTTTGGGGCTCCCACGGGATATGCCAAACTCTGATGAAATATTGAATAATTTTCAGAGAAGTAGGTCTGAGAGAAAAAAAAAATTATTACCTGTAACTGTTACAGGATGTTAGCCCTCGACTGGGATACCCCGATCTCGCTCGCAGGTTATAGATTTTACTAATAGTTCGAAAATTCTAATTAAAGAAATCTTATTCTCGTTTGTGTCAAATACTCTTTCGAGCATTACATGAATAAAGGATTTCAACCGTGCAAGAGTTTGCATGTGCTTGCAAATTCAGGGAAAGTAAAAAGATGAATATCATTCAGATGGACTTTAAGCAAATTTAATCGTTTTTGGAAATGGTAACTGAGGAAAACTAAGTACACGTCTCTAATGTTCAAGGTATGCTGACAGCTGATCTACAGGGATTGAAAGTCAGAATTGTTTACTTACATGCTGTCATGACCGTTCGGCGGTTACATCCACATAACATGACCGTTGATATGCTTAGATGATAAATATTTGTACTTAAATTCCAAAAATAGAAGATTATTTTCATTCTTCTCATTTTTATTTTATCGGCCTTCAAATTTGTCATGTGTTTTCACCTTCATTTTTGTGCGATGTATCTACTCAGAAAAGAAATTCAGGTTTCAAAATGTAGGCCCATAACAGCATTTAATTCATTATCTGGTGATTGTAGGTGCTTGGCACTGCCGATGGAATTTTAGTCCCCGAGGTTTGCGGTAATCCTCATGCCATTTTAATTCATTTGAATAGCTGACAGCCCAATGATTAAATATGACCATATACAAATTAGAGTGTAGTTTTGGAGTAATCATATCGCAATAATGGCTAGATTGTTGCCTACGAATAGTCAAACTATCATTCTGATTTGTCTTTTCTGTCATTATGATAAATGGCATTTAGAACAAATGATCTCTGGGTACATAACATGCATTCACATTGGCATGGTCACTAAAATGCTTTTTTTTAAAAACGTACATAAATTCAATTTTAGACATATTTGTATGTCATCGCAAACACCCGATCTGGACTACAAAGACCTGTAGCATTGAAAGATAAAGAAAAACATATATTTAGACGGATATATTGAATCATTATTCTAACTCGTAATCGAAACAAGGGTAAGATATGAAATAAGAAAATGTTTACAATCAGAAAAAGTAGAAAGGGTTACATTTTCATGAAGGTGGGCGTTTCCACGATCCTTTTTAATCAAGGCCAGATCAAAGTTATGTCACGTTTTCACATTATGAAAAGTGTTGATAACAGCAAAATAGTTAGGCATACTCACATAGCTGATAACGATCTTCATATCGCCGTTTATGCGTTACATGAAGGAATTCGTCCTGGTAGTGAGAGTACAGAGACTTTCTGAATACTCGTTCACGTCTTACAGCCTGATATATGACTACCAACTTCAAAGATCAGATACAGGGTCGAAACAACCTGGTAGTCCGTGTTTATGAAGGAATTAAAAAAAATGATAACATGCAGAGAGTGCTGATGCACTGTGAAACATTGCTGGCGGGATCAGTTTAAGGTGGAAGGGAAGTAACTCGAATAATTTGAAATACTTTTACTGTTAACTCCAGTGTTAATGGGAAGGGAATCTTGCAATCCGATTAGAAAGCGCGGCTCCCAGCAGTGTTTTTTTTTTTTTTTTTATATGTTTGAAAAAAATCTATATCTAGTTATTTTAGACAACGAGAACTATATTCAAAATAATAACCTGGTAGCTTAATATTTAGACCCTTATGTCTGAGTTTTATCTTTTCCAGAAAATGGTTTTGTTGAATTCGACGAATTTGTAGTGTTGATGCGGAGATGGCATCAAAACACGGAAGCAGATGGCGCTACAGCATCGTCTTCCGTTTCTTCAATAAGCAACGAGAAACAATTGGAGGCATTCAAAGTGTTTGATATGGATGGAAATGGTTTCATAGATAAACATGAACTTCGATACACTATGCGAAGGTTGGGAGAAAATTTATCAGAAGAAGATATCAAAGAGATGTTTAAAGAAGCTGATCTAAATGGTGATGGAATGATCGATTTCAATGGTAAACATATTTATTCAGCTATTTATAAATCACACACACAATTACATATCACACCTGTTATCGCTACTATTGTTAGTTATATTGCCGTTTATTTAATCAACGCTGTAGTATATTCAACGCGTATCTTAATAGTTTTACGTATTTACTAACCCGTATCTTTTAATATAGGATCATCATTTTTATTCAGCTTCTTCACAATTGCCAAATCATATTGCGATAGACACGAGGACAATACATTCCATTACCATTTTTCATTTTCACTATTATTTCATATTACCATAAATCAATATATTAGTATTAAGCGCTGACTTTAATCTGATAGTACACAGGTTTGGTTTTGAATATGTAAATGACTATATTTTTTTCATGTTTCAGAATTTACGAGACTGCTCCATCACTTAGTACCGGAACCTGAATAGACCGGACGTTTCTTCCATATTATATATATTTAATAACGATGTCACGAATTCCCTTGTTTCTTCCTTGTTTTTGTAACCATGCAGATTTCTCTTTTTTCAAACTTTGTCTCATTTTTAAAAAAGGAATTTGAAAGTTTATTATGTGATCAATAGACCGGAACAGGAAGTTGACATTTAACTCCGGCAAAAACAACGAGGGGCAAGAGTTAAGGGGGTATGTGTAATATCTAAGAGATATAAACAATCTATACGTATCTTTTGGAACACACGGAAGCGGGAAATTAAGATATGTTGTCACGTGGTGAAGGAAACATGTAAGTTGCTAAGATCTGCATAACATGGCAAAAAAAAAAAAAAAATTAAAAAAAAAAAAAAACAAACCCGGTCTTGGAATCGCTGAGCTCCACAAGTTTTACCCATCGAAGATTGTTTGTTTGACAACGTTATGTTAAAATATTTTCGCAATGACATAAATAGCAGAATGCGAAGAGCTGTACCTGACAGAGAAATGATTTAAAAGTTTACTTTACACGCGGAGCTAACGGAAAAAATACCATATAATTTCGGTCTGTGACCGCAGACAGTGGCTATTATTTTTGAAAGATACTATTCCCTTGATGCATGGATGTTTACACTAGTATCAAAGAGGAGGTCTCTGGAAACGCTCCATTTTATGTGTATTTGCAAATAAGGAAATGCAAGTGTGTATCGAAAACAATGACTACACCATGGCGACATTCTGAAAAATAGCCAGTGTGATCGGGGATGATGCTGATTGTGAATGAGAAATTTTATCAGCCTGAAACCTCTTCTGCAGTTTGTCACAATTACAAATGAACGAAGAAGAGAGTGATGAAGCAAAGTAAAATAGGTACAGAGAGAATGAGAATATTTATCTCAGAAAAACGTTGGATATTAACGTTTAGAAACTACATGATAACTTGCTTGAGTCACATTAAAACGCTATATTTAAACGGAATCAAATTACAGTTCTACGTGAAGTCTTTACATATCACGCAATACATAGTTGTCTTCATGCTTTGGTTCGAAAAATGTTTGCAATGGTAAAATTCTTAGTCGTTAAATAATACAAATTTGTAGAAAGCTATATTTGGATTATTGGAAATACACTTTATTTGCTACGGAACAAGGGTTACTTGTTCAAGGTGAAATCTGTAAACCTGTCAAATCCGAAACCTCAATCATTTGGAATATTCTCATATTATACACATCGCTGAAAATCGAAATGACATCAGCTAAAATTAATTTGTTTGGGTATTTTAACTAGTGTGACAAATTCATTTTTACGTAGAAATATTTTCATGTGCAAAATTCCTCAAAGAATGAAAAAAGGCATAGCTTGATAACAATGGCATAGATTAGGCTAAACTTTTTGAAGATCATTATTTGCAAATCTCGTATTTGCCAACTAAATGATCTTCCCCTAGAGCTGAAATTCCCGACATCACTTTCAAGGGGAAAAAATATAAATTAGATTCCAAATACAAATAAAGGCATATTCATCATCTCCCTCACAAAAAAGGGAAAAAATACTTGTGAAGAGTTGGAAGGAAAAGTTAAAGTTTTTACATGTCAAAATGATGCAAAATATCACTCTGATGAACGATGTGTGGAATCAAGGGCAGATAATCCATATGTTGATATACAAAGGCGTTTATATGGACAGTGTTTCGGAATTTGAATTGTGATACGTTTACCTCTATAAATACTCATTATTTTTCCTTATTTGTATCTTATTTCCCAAATTAAGGTCTATTTCGTTGGACAATATAACATTCCAAGCAATGAGTATTACAGGTCGATGTATTATGAGCCTATCTAATCTAGTTCTTGTAATCTCCCTTTTTATTACAATTTTCCTGTTGTATAAGTGAGTTTCATATTTCGAGTTATGTCCCTTAGTTTTATCTATTTGCAGACATTTTACATTGCTGCGATATACTCTAAAGTTTGAAGGAATGTTTTGTCTTGTTTGTGTTTGCTTGTGGTGATTAAATTTGCGTAGACATTTATCAAATAGTATTTTCATTGGCTTGAAGCTACAGGCGATGCATGGACTGTTACTGCAGTGTACAGGCAGAACATTAGTCAAAAACCTGACTAAATCATCACCTGTTTTCGCAATTTGTTGCTTGTTTAAGGAAGTCGAATTGCATTTCATTGTTTTTGTTCATAAGCGTTGTTATAAAGAGGTATGTGCTTCTGATCGGTGCTCTTACAGACATGTAGTTACACTTGTCTACACTGAAGTGGAAGCACAAATATCTGATCAGAACCTATGACAACAAACGTCGGTTAAGAGAAATAATTATAGTTTAAAAGGAATACCTTTTACGTAAATTTAACATCCACATATGCATTTTTTGTGTCGATGATAACGGTGTAGACAGGTGTTACTATGATCTGTGATAAAATGTTTAGATTTGTATCATCAGATATTTTCTTGTGATAGAGTATAGCCCGAGAAAAATCGTTGGTAATTTTCATGTTTTGTTTTAAAACTTTAAATGGATTCAAGCTTTTGAGGACTGTCGATGTATAAATTTTAATGTTATATATTTTACCGCATTGATATTGTCTTTAGGCTACACGGCGATAACATGAATGAAACACTTACATTTATCAATTCTCAACAGTACTAAAAGGAGGATGGCATAGCTGACATATAATTACTGACATCCAGAACGATCTTAGTACAATTTTTAAATGATTTTAGTTAATGAAGATTTTATTCAAATAATATTCATTCTTTAGTTAAAGTAAAACTACATCTGATTTGGTCATTTGAAATAATTAAGGAAATAAATTCAAATATCCAAATCACCGACTTAAATCAGAATTTAACGAATTTCATTGATTTTACCGTTATCTATCTATAAATACTAGATATATTTACACGATAATGTATTTCTACGTCATTCGTTTAATTGTCTTATTTCAATATTTAATGTTGTAACCTTACTAATATCAACTTTTCTTCAACGAAAGTCAATTTGATATATATTATCCACGCGAATCATTCAGTTAACAGCTGTTTAAGAGTATTGGGTTACAGATAAAACAGATAGTACATAAAACGGAACTGACGTATCTTCATGGTTTATACTTTAATTATACATTAATTAAAAACAGCATTAATTCATTACATAACATTGTTGTTATTAATGACCTAAAATATTCGGTTTGATCGTGTCCGGATTCAAATGTATGAACATATGATGCTGTTTAATCATTAATGAAAGGATGTTTCTTTCAAACAAAAAGACAAAAGCTGGCAACTTTCTTTCTTTCTTGTTTTCAAATTGTATCGTCTTCAAAACAGTTGTGAAGGGAATTCGTCTTTTTTCGTTTCATAAAAATAGCAAAATGATTAAGTTGGACTTTTATCATAAAAAATGAAAATCGGAAACCACAAATTCAAAATGTTGAAAAGTTACCTTATAAATCTATTATCACAACCGTTAGTTTTGCTTTGGTTACTCATAATAACAATATGTTTACGAAAGGTTAATTAAAAAGAAATAAAAAAGTTGTTTATGCTAATCTAGAATACATGTATACATTTGGCCAGTATTTCATACAGATGCTATGCTCTACTCCATATTTACTTCTAGTCATCAAATGTAAACACAGTCAAACTTCGTTAACTCGAAGTCAACGAAAATGGGGAAAATAACTCGAGCTTTCATAATTCGATTTAACGAAGTTTGCTTGTAGCGTTGTAGACGATAGATAATATGCGCTTAAATTTAGGACATTGTTGATAGTTGGACGGTGTTAAAATTACGAAGTATTGAATTTAAGTGGGTTTTATGATATGGACATGATCTGAGTAAGCTCTATTAGTTTGTCTTAGTATATCGTTTACTCTGAATATTTATTGATAAATCATATGCATGTTATAGAGATTGAGTGGTTCTGCGCATGCGTATTACAGATGTTCGATACATTGTTAAGAAAAACTTCGATGTATTCTATTCGTTGTTGAACCTAGTAGCACATTTTATTTTCATATGTAAATAGTTGTTTGTACAAATTAAACTTGTATATAGATTTCCTACCTTGATTAAAATGTTGTTTAATGATCTTATTACAAACCTGTGTTGTGTTTTATGTTGAAATAAATGTTGAAATGAGTGACAGATGATAACAATTATATTACGAAACAACATCAGCTACCTGAACTGTCTAATAGATTATGTTGATATTCTATACATTACCGAAACCAATTCTGACGATTCTGTTGCAAACGCCGAAATTATGATAGGTGGCTTTTCTGATCCTTTTCAAAAAGGCAGAAATATGTTTGGTGGCGTTGTTGCTATGTATATTTCTCTTGTTGCTGAGCTGAGAACTGGCCTGGAATTTGGGAATGTTGAAATGATATGGTCACAAATCAAACCAAATGCTCTTTATTCGGTAATTTATACAATTTACAATTAGATAAATGTGATTACTGAACCAACTAGACAAACTGCTACTTCCTCCACACTTGTAGGTCCTATGATACTGTTGATGTAATGTTGTCCAGATTGAGCGAAATGTTATCGACCATGATGCTTCATTTATCATCAGAAACATTACTACTCCTGTTTTGCCTATTTTTAAAACCCTAGCAGAATCTCTAATTACAGACAAAAATCACTTCTTCGTTTTTTAGTTAGAGTATTTGAACGTGTGGTCTATAAATATATATACAATTTCTTAACTGAAAATATCTTATTTACAAATACCAGGCATGATTCCTATATGGGCACTCTACTACCCATTAGCTTATCGAGATGTATCACTCATTAATTTCTTCTCTAGAAAATAATGAATATTCTATTCTTATATTTTGTGACTTCTCTATGACATTTGTCCGAGTATGGCACAAAGATCTTATCAATAATCTGAATAAGTATGGTATATAAGGACCACTTCTCCAATGACTAGGTGATTATTTTTCTTACAGGAAGCAAGCAGTTTTCATCACAGATTCATTATCTTCTTTTAAAGGTACAACTGCTTGTGTTCCAGAAGGCTCTCATCTCGACCCTTATTCTTCCTTATATATATATATCCTGCGAAAGCTCAAACTTATCATAAAAAGGAACCATCTGGCAAAATTGTATCTTATCTACATTAGACCTTTGCTCAAATATGCATGCAAAGTATGGGACAACTGCGGGGCAACTAATTCTCCAATACTTGAAAATAAATCAGCTAGAAGTGTCAAGAATAGTCACAAGGCTCCCCGTATTTACAAAAATAGTTTTTTTTAATATCGCGAAATTTCTTTCATTTATCCTATATTCAATGTTATGGACTTGGGATTCTCACAGGTTTATAACCTGATGTTATCGGTAATTTAGTACCACACCACTTAAGAAATACCCATCTAGTAAGAGAACAATATTTGCATCTTCAGCTATCTTTGGACCGATTTGGACAACAGTATCAGAAATTCTCCTTCTATACATTACTTCAAAGTTAATGTAAAAAAATATATAGGAGTAAACAACAACTTTACTATGAGTTTGCTTCCTATGGACCTTGACGACTAAATATCCTACACTACCGTCTAGAAAACCGCGCTAGTTCTCTTAATTATTATCTCTATAGAGGACATCTTATCGATTCTGCCGAGTGTCAATGTGGGCATCCATGCGAAGATTGTTACCAAGTTTTTTTTTATTATTTGTTATTTATATGCTAATCTCCGAACAACTCTTCACACAGAAATATGGTACTAAATGTATATAAATGTTCATATTCTTTGTGAAGGTGATTAAAATATTTCGTGCAGAGACAATATGAAAATTCCCAAAGCTGCACAGCATTTCATTGGAATATCGGGTAGATTAGGTTGATTCTCATTACCCCCTCTCTCCCCTTTCCCCACACTCTTTCTACTTTCCTACTAGTATCTCTTTTAACGACTTCATAGAAATCTTCTTTTAGCTTCATTAATAATCTTAATTCATATTTTTCTTATAAATCAATTGAAAGTATTTTGGATATTTAAGGTCGAGTTTCTGGTCCTTTCCGATGAAGACGGCACATATGTAACGATATATTCCACAGAATGTGTTGAACTTGGAGCAAGCTACCTATGGTGCAACGAAGGAATGTTTGGTGTAGTAGTCAGATTTGAGATGTGCTGTCTGTGTCCGAGGGAAACACTAACAAGACCCAGATAGGCGTTTTTGTTTTCTATATCTGATGATATTTGAAAAATATATATATCAGCTGATATTAAAATGGAAACCTCTCTCTGCCCTCCTCTAATCTATATTATTTTTGTCTATGTGCCAATCTGTATATCACAAATCTAACACATTTGCATTTGTCTCAATGTCATCAGGTGATAATTATTAAATGATTTTGTGTTGGTTTATTTTGGGAGAAGTCATTTATCAGTTGGAAGAAACTCGCTGACTCATACCTTTGTCATTATTTGCCAACTAAATATGTAAGTTGATTTTGGATAAAACAAAATGTCTAAATGGTTTATGAAAATAACGAAATTTATTAAATTAAATTCAGGAAACCAACATTTTATTGACTAAGACTAAGATAAATATATTGCATTACAAGACTTGTCCTCTCACAGAAGGGCTCTCATTCTCCACATATATCATTCACAAGGTCCATGCGTTCAAGTTATCTGTACACACTCCTTTAAACATGAACATTATTCTTCACTGTGTATAAATACTTCAACAAACAACGTTACACTCAATCTGATATATATACAGAACAATTACTGTCTGCATACCTTACATGTAATATGACAATATCTTACACAACATGCATACCTTATATCTGTCACGTATGGTTTTCATTAAGTACAGGCACACTTTATAATAACATATCACATTAACAATAGTGAAATACATGGATTTTAATCCATATATATATATATATCACCATAGTTTTAAGTGAAAATCTATTATCAGCTGATTTACATTTGATTGTGTGTGTGCTGCTGTGGTGTTTGGAAGTATTTGTCGAATGGATTTCCTTGTTTCTCGTTTTGTTGTATTGTAATTTCACGTGTGTGTGGGTACGTGCTGCTACGAACTGGGTAAATGTTCATATTTTGTTACATTATGCGTCAGTATGGTATTAAATTCATGTAATTCTGTATTTTGTTGGCTGTTTAGTAGTGTCTCCGCTGTCTGGGCAGAAGTACGCCGAGCTAGCCTTGTACCAGTAAATGTAGCCTGAATAATTTACTAATGAATATATATTGTTACTTATATCAGAAACGAGATATATTTTATATAGTTTACAAATATATCAGAGAAAATCATTTGTTTAAAGGATTATTTATTGTTTTCTTATCGTGGGCCTCACTATAAGCCTTTACATAAGCCTAGCTAGCGAGATCATGTGGCGGCGAGGTCAGAGGATGAATACTAAGGATTCAATCCAAGATGTTAACATGCTGTCTTTAGAAGTTTTGGGAGTTTCTTCTTTTTGTTATCAAGTGTTACTGCCATATGAAATTCAAATTTTAGAATATTCGCAATGTTGATGCTTTTTGTTCACGTACATAGTGCCATATTTCTTTAATCCTAGTTTTTTAAAAAGAAATATTGTTAATGGTGGACTTGAATTGTGTCATTTTCGACATTTTGAAGAAATGATGATAGTTTTCAGTGACCTGATATATATTGGATAATGGACTATCCTTTATCACAAAATTAAAACTCCACATTGCATACACCTGACCAATGGATTATTGTACAATACAAAGATGAATAAGTCATCTACTTTTGAAC